GCAATATAAGTAATATTACAAACCACCGGCTCTTATATTTAGCCTAGCACTCTTTATATGAATTATAACTAAAAACTGAAATCGCTTTATAACACTAGAAATCCAGAGAATAATCAATGAAAGTTATTTCTATAATTTAATCTGATTTTAAACAAAATTAATATGCAGAATTATTCTGTTGGACGCTGAAAGCCTTAAAGTACAATATATCTGTGATTTTATTTGTTTTGAACTTTTTGTTAGGGCATAATATTCAAATATAGATTAATGAAGCAACTTTTAACCTAGTAGAAATAAAACAAAATTTTTTACTGTTTTTTGAACGACAATTTGGGTGAAGGAATAGTGTTTCAATTTCAATATAATTTTGTACCGATTGTATAGCAGATGCATGTATATGTTTTCAGGTTAATTTTGCTTGTCTAATTTTGTTTAACTACACATATACGTAGTCGTAAACTATTGTTTCTTGGTGACTTTAGGTGGAATAAAACCTGTATGTGAATCTATAGTATGCAGGCATAATGTAAAATGTGTACACCGTTTTTAAATCTAAGAATTGCACAAAGTTAAATTTCTAGATCGCTTACGCACTTCTGAAACTTTGGGGCCTCCAAGCAACTTAGCCGTGTTGATGCCAAAACAAAACATAAATATAAGAGATATTCCCACCGCTCTGCATTTGTCTCCATTGATAATTTCTGCCTTGTGTGCGTGTGTCGCTAATGTAGTGAGGTTTTTAAGCACAAAAATAATAGTTCTGTCAGCGCTAATACAAATTGTTTGTATTGTATAAATATTAAGTTTTGCTTAATCTTTGTAGAACAAAGAAAGACATTAGGTTTAAAAAATTTGAAGTTGTCTTATTTTGTAACTATGTTTATCATTGGAATTCAAGAAGTCCATTTATAAGCAAATATTAAATTAGACACTTATTTTTATTAACATTTTAAGAAAATTGTAGGGTGTATATATAACGAATATATCATTAAAATAACATAAAACTAACATCAAAATGATAATAAAAATTTACTAATAATTAAGACAAGCTGAAATATATTTTATTTTACATTTTCAGACGTTCGCTACAAAATCGTACGCTGCTGACAAGATCGTTATCGCTGGTACGAGTTCTATAAATTTGCTGCTGTGGTCAGAGTCTAAAATTAAAACTCAAGATGCGTTGATAGAAATTAAAGACAGCAGTGACAAAATCAGCTCAAAAAATAAGACTAATTTAAGTAGCAAAAAATTTAGAAAAAAAAATAAAAAATGTAACAATAAAAATGAGGAGACAATAAAACAAAAAAAAAGTGTTAAAAAAAGGAAAAAGCGTTAGTCCAGTCAATTTGTCTGCAGGGCGCGATCTGACTTGATCTAAAGCCATTAAAAATGCTGGTGGCGTTTGCCACTTACTCCACACACTGCTCATGAAGCAACCCAGCGGCACCATTATGCCAGCGCTGAAAAAGTAAGCGAGGAGGTAATAGCTCTTCGTTTTTATTTTTCTTTGTTTTCGACATTTGTGTTCGACATAGGCAATTTCGGGGTTGAAATTATAAAAGAATAAAGAAGAAAAGCATGAGTTAAGAATTTCTTGTTTTGCCTACATTGTATACATTTAGTCTGCTTTTAATTTTAGTGAAGTGCGAACAGTGAACAATTTTTAATTCTTAAAATCAAATAAAAAACAAAAATATAAATAAAATATAATTTGTAATTTCACATAAACTCACTGTAAGTATATGCAAAATGAAGTAAATATATTTAAAATGATAATTGAAATTTTTGTTTTGTATTATGTAGATGCTACTGCGTCAAGAACGATTAATTGACCAATGTGCTGCGAATGCAGTCATTCTAAAGCAAGGGGTAATCAGCTGTAGTCATGTAGTCAGCTGTTTCAATTGGAAAATTTTACAATTCGAACTGAGGAGGATTTAATTCAATTTAATGAAGAAATCACTGCCGTTGAAGTAGTTGTAAGTTAAATTATATATGTTTCTTACTTTCAGTTTCAACTTATTAATATATTCACATGTAACAATTTTACTAATTCATACATTTCTTTTCATCTATAACGTTATTTATAGACTGCATCAATGAGACGCGTTATTAAAAAACAACCAATTACGCGAAAAATTTCCTGGAATTTTGGAGAATGGTACCCAAGGCAAGAAGTCCTTAAGAGCGTTAGAGAATGTGACAGCAGCACTTTTTGGTATAGTATATTGTACATAATTAACTTTAGCGTATACAATAACATACTTTTGTATTTACAGATGCTTTAAGTACAGATGGTAAGCCGGAACAAGTGATCGAGTCGAGTCTGGAAATCTCTTCAAGGTTTTAGTAACAATTTCCAGAAAAATATTCATATATATAAGTATGTTATATTTTTTTATGTAAATATTAATATTTTAATTGTATAAAACATAAATATAAAATATAATTTATCCAAAAAAATTTATAGTATTTTATTTAAAAATCAATAGCATAGGTAAAATTTAAAAGGTAAGCGAACATGTCAGCGCTGATATGTTGCATTACAAATTCGAAAAGGTAAGCTAACATGTCAGCGCTGATATGTTGCATTACAAATTCGAAAAAGTAAGCGAACATATCAGCGCTGATATGTTGCATTACAAATTTGAAAAGGTAATCGAACGATTCAGCGCTTGCCTGCAATGACATGCACGTGTTAAAGTAATTAGGAGTTTCCTTTGAATAATCAGCGCTAGGCATTACCATTCAGCGCTGAGGGAATCGATTCCCGCTGGGCGGTTACTTTGTCACATAACGAGTCACATATGATGTGTGGTTGCAGTGGTGTTGGAGTACATGTGCCGTTGATTTATTAATTAAAAGCGCACATGCCGCCACCGACATGGTTCAAGTGTGGCTTGAAACGTCCCACAGTTGACTGGCTGAAGACATACATAAAACATAGAAAGAACGCAGAAAGAAAAAAAATTCATAAGACATGTGCTGCTACTTTACAGCGCTCTGAATGTTCCTGTTGATGACACTGATTATGAGTAAGTAATTGAGTAGCTGACACTTTAACTTCCAAACAGCTGAAAAGCGTAAATTCATGGGAATGACCGAAATTACAGCGACTGACTGCATTGAATGCATGCCATATTGCGTACGAGTTACTGCTGCTTTTTAGGCTTTTGATACAGTAGACCTGCTGTAATGAACAATAACTAAAACTTATGACTACGGCAGCTATAATTTTGCAATTTTAGTTGCTGAATATCAGGCTTTTAAGTACATAAGCACACATGCAGTATATGTGTGCGTTATCCTGAGCTCATTTTACAGTTTATAAAAGATTTCTTAAAAGTTGAAGGTTCGAAGGTTATGATGTGATTGTAAAAAAATGATGTTCTATTTGTGCAAAATGAAAAGAGTAGTGGATGTGAAAAATGTATCTATTTAATTTACAGGTAATATATATGTGATTGCAGGTAAATCAAACAAAATTTAAAACAAAAGACTTATCGCTTTAAAACATATTTAAAAATATATAGGATTTCTAATTAGGTGTTTATTATATAGCGATCTACAACACTTTTTTAAGAAAAAAACAGCGATCGACAACATTGGCGGAGTCAGCTGTTCCTGCTTTAAAAAAAAAGCACAAATTTGTAAAATAAAATTATAAATGTTGAATTTATAAATGGTGACCTCGACGTGGTTTAAAAAATAAAATAAATTAATTAATGTTTCTAAATTTTGTTCATAGCAACAAAAAAAAATAATAAAATGAACTTGTTTAAAACAGAGCATAAAGAATTTCACAACAAGCACAGTATAAGAGCGTCAGAGCAGCACCCCTACAAGCAAATTTTCAAAATGTCGCAAATAGAAAAAGAAGACAATGAGAATAGGCAAAACGAAGAAAAAACAAGTACAGTTAGCAGTAAGGAGTCAACAATAGTCGTAGTGGAATTCACGATTCTAAAGCTGCCACAGTTCATGACAACTGATCCAGAACTGTGGTGCACTCAAATTGATGGGTTGTTGCATTGCCACGAAATTTCGCATCCACAGCTTTGGATGCTTCACTAAGACAAGTAGATATGGCTAATAACGCGCCAGCCACAGGTAAGTATGATAAACTAAAAAAATAGCTTATAACTCGTTTATCTCGAGGATAGCGAAAGCCACCTAGTAATGGGTGGTAGGAGGGAAATAAAATACTTCTCGCGGACCAAACAGCCAGGAGATGGTAAACTTCGTAAAAAACCCTCACTGTAAGCTTTCCGAAGGTAGTATCGATAAAACGTTACAGATGGTGCTGGGGAATGGCAGCTGATTTCTCAGTGTCATGTATAGGCAGAGGTTGAGACAACTGGTATGATTATACACGCATCAGCAGATAGCGCAGTGGTATCCATATAAACAGCCACAGAAGCTCAACTATAGATAATTATGATGTGTACTACAGTGGCGACGATAGAAGAAGAAACAAACATGGTGTTGCAGTTGTTATATCAAAAGGAACTTAAAAATATGGTTACAAATGCCGTGTATTATTCCACTCGTATAATAATAGCGCAAATGAAGGGGTGGCCAGTAAATTTAAATATAATTAAAGTTTACGCACCCACATGTAATACTCCTGATGAAGAAATTGAAATATAGGCAAATTTGGCCTATGCGAAATAAATGAAAGATCGTTTGGCTGAAGTCTGTAGATGTAATAAGTTGATTATTTTTAATACATTCCATACATGCCACAACGAAGATTTTATACCTGAAAGCCACCAGCCGATACAGTACACAGGGTCATTCGTAACCAAATTGATTTTATAACAATAAGTGAAAGATGTAAGAAGTCAATAAAATTCGCAAAAACCTTCTCCGGTGCGGATGTTCCCTCTGATCAAAACTTGCTAGCTGTTAAAATCAACATTAAATTCAAAGCGACAAGCTCAGCTCAACCGAGGAGTAAACTCAATGTACAAAAATTAAAAAGCCCAGGTTTAAAGATGGGAGTTGAAAATGAACTTGAAACGAAGTTATTAAATTTGGAACCCGATGACATGTCCATTGAGGAAATATCTATGACAATTAAAAACACAATACTGGAAGTAACAAACAATGAAATGCGCGTAAATAGACCTAGAAGGAATCAAGTTTGGATGACAGATGAAATCCTGGCTTTAATGGACGGAAGAAGTCGGTATAAAAATAAATATACTCGCAAATATAAGGATATACACAGATCTATACGTCTTCTTATCAGAAAAGCAAAAGAAGATCCTTACAAAAAGAAATGTTAGGAGATAGAGGGGTATCAAAGGAGATACGATTTATATAATTTACACAAGAAAATTAGAAGTATAACGGCATCTAATAGAAGAAAGAGAAGCACACTTATAGATAACGAATAAATACCTAACAGAAAAAGACGAAACACTTCGCATGTGGGAATGCTATATCCAAACTCTATTTGCGAGCAAATGATCATCTGTGATACCCGATCTTAGAGCTGATTCAGGTCCACATATATACTTGGATGAAGTTCAAAAAGCAATTAATGGTGCAAAAATAGGAAAAACTGTAGGGTCTGACCAAATACCAACAGAATTGATGAAGTAATTCAAAAATAATGGCGTACAAAATTTAACGAGATTTTTAAATAATGCTCCTACGAAAAGAATAGTAATAAAATTTATCAATTAAAAATAAAAATGTAATTAATTAAATAATTCAATTATTCTACAGCTGGTTTATGATTTCGTTCTTATATAAACACAGCAAGTAAAATTGTTAATAAAAACTTTCATAGCAAAAGTAACGAAACTCCAGAAAAATATGCGAACAAAAAAAGTCAAGTAAGGCTTTGGATTAGTTGGTTAAGGTACGCTGATTCTGAGCTTCACATTTGGCAGGACCCGAGTTCGAATCCTGGTACTTGCAATCTAAAAAATAATTATTTACGAATAATTAAATACAAGAATTATTTCCAAGATCACTGATGATGGATATTTGGCAATACTCGAAACAGTTGTATGGTCAGTCAAAAATTTAATTAATTAAAATAATATAAAAAAAAAATTGTTGTTGTAGTTCACTACTGTTCGAGAAAACCTATTTAAGATTTTTTAATAAAATTTGTAATGGAGGTCAGATACCAAATTATTGGCTTCAAACTAGGTGTATTACGATTCCAAAGAAAGCTACACAAAAACATGTGTAGATTTTAGAACAGTCAGCTTGATGGACACATCAAGCTATGTTAATATGTTAAAGGTATTCCATCGAATTATACATAATTAAATTTATCCAAAACTCGAGGAACAAATGAGTGATACTCAGTTTGGTTTTCGCAAAGGGCTTGGTACTAGAAAAGCCTTGTATGGACTAAGAATTCTAATAGAACGTTGACGTGACTATAACAGTCACGTATAACGTGATATCCGAATAATAGCAAACTTATACTGGAAACAGTACGCAAATGTTTGCATTGATAGTTACTTCACGCAGGAAGTAGAAATAAAACGCGGAATTGGCCAAGGGTATATTCTGTCACCATTACTGTTCAAAATATACTCGGAGGCTATTTTCAAAGAAGCACTACACGGTGCGACAAATGAAATTATGATTAACGGGGTACTTATAAATAATTTAAGGTAGGCCGATAATACAGTGCTTATTGTCAATTCATTCAGATGGCTTACAGAATCTTTTAGACGCTGTTGCATTAAAGTGCAGAGAATACAGCTTAAAATTAAAAAACTGAAACACAACATATGGTGGTAAATAAACTAGCTATTTCTGAAGGAAGATTGATTGTTTATTATTGAGTATAATAAACACCGACGTCATCACAACAAAAAATTTACTATTATTAATTATTTCCTTGGGGATAAACTTTATCAACAACACTAACCATTTTCCTTTGGATGTAAACACAAAATTTGTGTTTTTGCTTTATATGCAACATCCAGGTATTAAGTCTTCTCTAAATCAAATAAATTAAGGATAAGTCTGGCCATCGATTAACAAAGATATGCTAATATGGGTACGTTCGTGTCAAGGTTGCTAACGAGCGAAAATTCAACGTCACAACCAGTTAAATCGGATGCAATTTAAAGAAGTCGACAGCCGTTTTGGTCACGTACATATTGACATAATCGTTCTTCTTGAACTGAGAGGATACCAGTATTGCTTAACAATGATAGATAGATTTAAGCGCTGGCCAGAAGTGGTACAAATGAAAGATATGTCAGCCTGTACATATGTCTGTGTACATCTTCAGGTTTGGTGCGCCTCAGAAAATCACTACAGATCAAGGAGCTCAATTCGAGAGTGAATTGTTTGAATTCACTTCGGCTTCGAATGGCATGATAGAACGTTGGCATCGTTCTTTAAAGGCATCATTAATGTGTAACCAACAACAAACATGGACCGAATTATTACCAACTGTAATGCTTGGATTTAGGATTTCCTACAAAGCTGATATTAAGTCATCGGCCGCAGAAATGATTTACGGCACCACTCTTCGTGTATCAGGTAAATTCTTCAGCGATATTGATTCACATGGGAACACAGAACAATTTTTATTAAAATTCCGTGTGTATATAAGACAAGTTCGTCCGCAACCAGCAATGCATCATGGTCAAAAGTCGATGTTCAAACACAAGAACATAGATTTCTTCGAGGCGATCATGTGAAGAAACCATTAGAACTCCCTAATATGAGGTCGTATGACGTTAAAAAAAGAATAAGCGGTCGTATTTTCACCATATACATCGAAGGTAAGGACTATAATATATGGGTAGACCGGTTAAAACCCTCTTTCTTAGAGAAAGATATAGACGAAATGATATAACCGCTTTGGACATACTGCAGAATGCCAAAAATAATAGTAACGTTTTTGAATGATGTGAACTAGTGAATGTAACAATCCACAACACTTTTTTAAGAAAAAAAACAGCGATGGACAACATTGGTAGAATTTACTGTTCCTATTTTTAGAAAAAAGACACAAATTTGTATTTGTTAAATAAACGCATTAAAAAAATAAGATAAAACAAAATTATAAATGTTGAATTTATAATTAAGTTGACATAGCGCCATCTATTCTTAAAAAGAGTAACTAAAACTTCAAAGTTATACATATAAAAACAATAAATCCTTCTTTTTTAGGACATAGTCAAAATCTCACTTCGATAAGTAAATTCAACCTTCGTTTGAAAGGCAAATATGAATATCGTACAGTGATCAATTTTCTTGTAATTAAAGGTTTAAACATGGTGAAAATTGATACCGAAATGAGAAATGTTGTAACATAAAATTTACGTTCGTAAATTTTACAACACAAAAATATAATAATACAAAAAAAAAATATAATAATAAAATAAAACATCAAAACAATAATAAAACTTTTAAACAACACACCGTTGTAATTACAAGAACAAATCTACTGTTTGCTTCGCACCTCGCGGATATAAAAGGCGAAGCAAAAGCACAAGACAGACATTCAGCAAGGTATCGAGCTAAAGCACAGGTCGCTCCATAATATACGTGCTGGAACATCAAGAATCGAAATTTACATCTCGATTCCCATTGGTATTTTATTTAATAGAAATACACATTTCTATTAAAATAATTATTACTAACGAAATTAACATTTCGTTAGTAGTAATAGAAATATAAATTTCTATTACTTATTTATTCATAACGAAATCAAATTTTCGTTAATAAATTACTCGGTAAGGTGATAATTGCACATGAGTATTATCACCCATACCAAATCCATCGCAGAGAGAAGAAATTCACATTTCTTCAAAACAAATTGTCAGGGGCGTTGAAATTCATTGAACAGAGAAGAAATTCACATTTCTTCAAACATATTGTCAGGGGCGTTGAAATTAACATTTCTACGCCAAATCCATTGCATAGAGAAGAAATCACATTTCTTCAAAACACATTGTCAGGGGCGTTGAAATTAACATTTCTACGCCAAATTCATTGAACAGAGAAGAAATTCACATTTCTTCAAACATATTGTCAGGGGCGTTGAAATTAACATTTCTACGCCAAATCCATTGCATAGAGAAGAAATTCACATTTCTTCAAAACACATTGTCAGGGGCGTTGGAAATTAACATTTCTACACCAAACCAACTAACTTCACCGAGGAAGATAAACACATCATTGCACCAACGTCACCGTCCACCGGGTATTCAAACTTTCCACTGCTCCTATCAAATAAATTTATTGTAGGACTGGACCTGGAATCCGGCGAGCAAAACCCCAGCCAGAAAGGTTCGTTACAATGTGTACGATAAATCTGTTTCTTCAGAAAAATTGATTTCAATAATAATAACAAATTTTAAAGTGCAATGACAGGAATATAAAATGTTGTAACTGTCGTTGTAAAAGGACGTTTAGTACAAAAGTAATGCATTCTCTTCGAAAATCCAATAAACTTTAAGTTATACACCCAATATAATGAACATACAACCATTCGAATAAATTAGTCAGTAACATTTAGAGCATATTTTGCTGACTATTTTATTACTATCAATAAAGCTTGGGCATACCATTATGATTCTGAATCAAAATAAAATATTGAGTAATGGTATAAGCTTTACTTTTCTACTCGGAAGTAGGTTTGTGTGCGAAAATCTGTTATGGAGGTTACCGTCAGTTTTTTGCAAAAAGAGTTTCATTGGTAGACAACGTCGACAATGGTAATACAATGAACCCGACCAGTCGCTCTTTAAATTTTGCATTATTCCTTGATGAAGTGGTTGCAATTTAGAGGTCGTATTCGGTGGAAGAAATACCAATTTTATGCATTTCCACAAAGAAGCAACATATGAAAGAGTTTGCTCTCTACAACCCTATTGCACTCTTTTTAGTTCGTGTTATAGAAAATTCGAGTTATAGAAGATCGAGTTATGGAAGTTTGACTATATTTATATATTAAATTAATTTATAATAATATTATTTATAATATTTGAATAAAGTATTAGTGTTGCTGTAAAGCTAGACTTACTTTGTATAGTGACAAAGAAGCTTTATTAAATTTTTAGAAGGGTTTTCGAATAACAAAGAAAGAAATAAAGGACAAACACAAAAATTTATTTTTAACTTTATTGAAATTTGGCTGACCATACAACGCTGTTTCGAGTATTGCCAAGTACTCTTCATCAGTGGTCTTTGGGAATAATCGAATTTTTTATTTAATTAGTTTATAGTCCGTATATAATTTGTTTGGACTGCAAGTGCCAGGCTTAGAACTCGTGCCTGTCAAATTAGAAGCGATGACTAATCGTGTTTATCCACAAGAAGCCAAGGCTGCACAAAC